TCTTCACATAAAATAAAACATTTATATCTTTATGTTTGAAGCCTGAAATGTGGCAAAAGGTTGAAAAGTTCAAGGGGGCCGAATACTTTCGCAAGGCACTGTATATAATTAGTACTCATATCCACAGCACACACCTAATTAAGGGATTAAGAAACCAGTTCAAGAATGTACCAACATCTGATACCTGGCATGTACATTCTTTTTCCTATCTAGAATGGAAGTAAGTAATGTACAAACAAATCAGGCCAATAATCTTCTAGCTAAAGGCAGAAAAGATCAAGTTCTCTTCAATTGAACTGCTCTCTTTTCAGATTAAAGGTCTGACATGGTATGTGGTTAAAAACACAATAATGGAAGGCAAAGATGGCCTTAGGCCAAATACTTACTCTTCCTTTTTCCAATTTCCATATCTGAAGTTGCTGCTTCATGCAAAAGTACCATTCCCAAGGTGACAGCAGAATCTGAAACAACTAATTAAGGAATCAGTTCACGAGAACCAGAGGACCTATCATGGTCATGAATGAGAGCTAGTCCAGCAAATACACTTCACAGGCCAGAGAGACCTTTTTTCCACCATAGTTCATTTGCATGCTATACAATTCTGCAACCAATTTAAGAGGTTCTAAATGCCCTGGTAATAAAACAATTCTGGTTGATCCCAGAGCCTTCCCACAGTGACTTCATTGTCCTCACCACAGGATGGGCTTTGGAGAGCTATCTTCACCAGATGGTGGCTAACCTGACAGTGCTGGGTGATTACCCCAATAGTGCTAACAAACCTGACATTGCTTGGTGATTACCCCTATAAAGCTAACAGACCTAACAGTGCTGAGCGATTACCCCAATACATCTAACAGACCTAACGGTGCTTGTCGATCACCTCACCCACCTCACAGTCTGGATCTAGCATCAGGTCTGATACTGGACTAGGATATATATTGTTTTGAAGCTTTGAATTCTACAACCCCAAGAATGCTAAATATCCAGACATTCAATCCCCTCACCTTTAAACATGAAAAAATGGTTTAAGTCAACTATGACAAATTAATAAACAAATCACCCAACTAATGTTTGTGATTCACACGTTTGTGATTTGCTGTAACCAATCCCAATTGCACCATGGAATTTGGTGACATAGCATTCAAGTATGATGACTACTTGATCATGTGTGGCAACTGTGCAGTATTTAAGCAGACACGTGAAGCAGTCACAGATTAACAACAAACAAGTCTACAATATATCCCACATGCAGTGATGCCATGATAACACAAACATATTCAAAGGTTGAATGCTTTAAGCTTGAATGTTTCTAGCTGTTGAAAATTGGCTATAGAGTATAGATATTCCTGAGATGTAAAGATGTCATCTGCAATATTCATTGCAGTGAACATGCAGGAGGCCCAAGTCAGGGTGGACATGTTTCGTGGCGACTCTGTAATGATCCTGAGAGACATCCACTCAAAGAACACATCAGGGATAATTAAGAACTTGTTTCCCTGCCAGCCACTGCAGACCAGAGACTTGCATGCAGCTCTATTTGTTTTAGAAATTAATGAGCACTAAAATATTTGCTCGCTGAATCTGAGAAGTGAAATTTAAACCATGAACATTAAAATATTTTCAAATACTCACCCCTAGCAATGGCAACCAGGTGTAAGAGGCAGTGAAGTGATGACTCAGGGACTAATCAGCATAATGTTGTCAGAGGTAATATCCCAGTGCCAGAATAGTGAGGTTGTGCAAGGGGACTATGTTGAAAATCAAGTCTTTTCCATTGTGCAGGATACTTAACAAATTAACTTTACCTATTGACTTAATTCTTGTATGTATGGTGTAGTATTATTTCATTTTCCAAGGTATTCAAACTCTTTCTCATTAATTAACTTTTTCATGCTGCAAAGCTGCATTTTGAATTCAGAACTCAGATGCAGAAATTTGAGTCTATGGTATTAGGTTTATATCTCATGGATGGCATGAATGTTATCACTTGTGACACAAATGTGGCATCACTAATAGAACTATAGCCTGGAATGACATTTGTACTCATTCTGTTTAGACATGATACGTGTGCTTCATTTGCCTTCTCAGCATTTTTATTCAAAAAAGCTGCATTCTTTGGAGCTGCTCCATAACGGACTGGCTCATTCCTCTGCAGGCCTGCAGCTGAAGGACAATGTCCTTTTTCATAAGAAGGTCAAAGTGTTTGTTCTTCTATGCCAAAGTGCTGTTTCTTCTCGTCTTGTACGTGTTTAAGTGGAGATAGCGCACTTGTAAGTGTAACTAGATACTGATGATTAACACACATACTGTAATATAATAATAATTGCTTACACTTATATAGCACTTTCCTGGACACTCCACTCAAAGCGCTTACAGGTAATGGGGACTCCCCTCTACCACCACCAATGTGCAGCATCCACCTGGATGATGCGACGGCAGCCATAGTGTGCCAGAACGCTCACCACACATCAGCTATTAGTGGGGAGAGGGCAGAGTAATGAAGCCAATTCATAGATGGGGATTATTAGGAGGCCATGATTGGTAAGGGCCAAGGGGAAATTTGGCCAGGACGCCAGGGTTACACCCCTACTCTTTTCAAAAAACACCCCGGGATTTTTAATGACTACAGAGAGTCAGGACCTCGGTTTTACATCTCATCCGAAGGACGGCGCCTGTTTTATGGTATAGTGTTCCCATCACTGTACTGGGGCATTAGGACCCACATGGACCGCAGGGTGAGTGCCCCCTGGTGGCCCCACTAACACCTCTTCCAGCAGCAACCTTAGTTTTTCCCAGGAGGTCTCCCATCCAGGTACTGACCAGGCTCACACCTGCTTAACTTCAGTGGGTTGCCAGTTGTAAGTTACAGGGTGATATGGCTGCTGGCAAATACTGTAAAATGGACCTTTAAGACACCATTTTATAGAGGTGTCCACTATTGTTCTTTGTAAAATCCAAAATTTTTATTATACCTTTACTTACTTTTTCTTTATTCGTTTTTTAACTAACAAAAATCATGTTTAAGGAAAATTTAAAAAAGAATCCTTATAGTAAAAGGATACTGAACAACAGAACAATATGAGTTTCAGCAACAAACTGGGCCTGACTGCTGCCATGGATGTAACTCTATAAGACAAAAAAAGGATTGAGAAGGATTGAGAAGTATGGCTGAGAAAATTATCATTTCCATACAATGATCATTTGAAATCATAATAACATTTGCCATGGTACAGCACAGAATCACAGTTTTAAATGTTTTTTTTTGTGATCCCATTTGTATATGACACATTTCAACACAGTTGAAAATAACTCTCCAGTTAATGGGAATTATTTAAAAGGAAACCATGGGAACTGCATATTATAAAAGTGCAGTTATAAAAACAGCAGGAATGGAAAAGTGCATTGCTGGCATGAAAACAAATCTGAAACTATATGGTGATTATTAAGTATTTACATGAAAGGTAAAACAATTGTGATAAGACCATCATATAATTACATTATATTTTATCACATCATTATGTAATTAAACAATAGCTTTGGAGACCACTGAGGTCTGTAATAGAAAATCAGACACAATCATTAAATGAAAATTAAATTAGGAGAAAGGTAAGGCCAAGACAGTCCTGGTCCCTTCTGAAAATGTACATTATGCAGAAGTGCCATGAAGAGACGTAACTATGCTTACCATTATATGTGTTTTTAACTGAGCTACCCTCCGTTAATGTTACATTAATAGATTATGATAAGCTTTAACAGCAGTGAAAGCATGGGTAAGAGGATAAGCTATGCCCATACATTACGTATTTCAGTACTTAAACACCCTTTTAAACATTTTAAAAGATCTGTGGTACATGTATACTAGTACATGTATCAATCAAGTAGATAGCTACACCAGCATGTGTAGGCTGCAAAGGAACAAGTAAACGTTTACTCCCTGTTGAAAAGAGAAGAAAAGAAACACAATGTTTCGGCTGTGGAGCCTTCTTCAGGTGTGGGACGCCCAACACCCAAAGAAGGCTCCACAGCCGAAACATTGTGTTTCTTTTCTTCTCTTTTCAGAATGGAATAAACCTTTATTTGTTCCCATGTATCAATTAATCCGGGACATCCTGTTCCTATCACCTGTAACTTAATACCCAAGACAGCATTCTGATGTGGGTGTAATATGGTACAGTATTATTGGGTATGACCTCTCAGATCATTATGCAATCCTGGCTTTTTTGCAGGCATCTAAATGTTTAAATTATCATTTGTGTCTATGTAAATGTTGCATATAAAACATTCATTTTTAAATAAGTCTGTTCTAAATATTTGGAAATGCACTGTCTATAACCTACAATGCATAGTGGTCTAATCCATACACAGATACTTCTTATTTCATTGAAGAAACAGTGCACTTGCTAAATGAGCACAACCTGGATTGCCCTTTCTACAGTAGTATCACAGCTTTCCTACAACATCAATATTATTTATTTACACTGCTCTAAAAACAAGAAGAACCATGAAAAATGACCCACTCCCACAAGCAGATTAGGAGTTTCTGAATTCACTAATCAAAGGGTTACATGTAATTTCAGTTCTGTAAAGAAGAATGTCAGCAGTTTGACTGCAAATAACAAAAGACAAAATACACTGATCGTGTGTTAGATAGCCCTTTACAAATCCTCTAAAAAAAACGAAAAAGATGATAACGGGAAAAAAACAAAAGCAGCACCACTGCAATGGTGATTCTTAAGGCCGAGAGTTATAAAAACGTCTGAATTGTCTGAATGTCAACTAGATCACATTACATCTAGGACCTGTGCAGTACAACTTTCACAAAGCACTTTCTTACCACTTGTCCCGTGTGCGGATTCTTGTGAGCATACGGAGGGCCACGAATGTGGTTCCACATCTGTCCTGAAGTCATGATCAGGACAAAGCACTGTTGAAATAAAAGCAAACTGGTCTACAAAGTGCCACAGAAGAGATGGCAATTTACAGGTAGGGGGTCTGATGAATCCGAAAAAGAGGAATTTATTTAGTTTACGACTCAATTCATTTCCCAGGCTTAAAAGGTTCTAAAAAACAAGTTCATGTGTCGGGGCTTACATAATTACTGCCAGTTGCAAATTAAAATTAAGAATCATCACAGCTTTGAGAAGAATGAGCGAGGATCCAAACTTTAATATGGAAATATTTAATAGAATTTAATATGAAAGGGGACACTTAAGTAATAGAACTATCCTAAACATTTATATTTGGTGTGTGTACCTCTTGGCATGAGATCATTTGGACATTTCCACTTTTATAATACTCATAAAAACATCCATTTTCTGCGGACCACAAATCCTGGTGAAGGTTTTATGAAGCTAGTCTGTCTCCTAGAAGCACAGGGTTCAATGTAGCACTCAGTATACACAACTCCTTTGTTTCAGTCCATTGCAGAGCCATAGAGAATGGAAAAGTTTAGAATAGACTTGGAAATTTAGCTATCAAGTCCTCAGGATGTGGGAGGAAAACCAAGTGTGCACACAAGGGGAGAACGTCCAAACTCCAAACAGAAGGATGCCCAATCGCACAATCAAACCCAGGACACTGGCACTCAGCGCGGCAGCAGTGCTAACTGCCATGCTCCCCATTTGGGTTTTAAAAACAACCGATGAATAGACATTCATTCTACTGTACGTCTAATAGAATTGTTCTAAATACTTACTAAAGCAGCGAATGCCCAGGCATTTTTATTGTAGAGAAACTCCAGGTTATTTCTTCTGAGATACACAAGCCCTCCAATCACAGCAAGCAGGAAGCCTAGCATCAGAGGACCAGCGTAATTTGGAGGCCTGATAACTCGGATCTGGAAAGAGGAAAAACAAAATAAATTGGAATATAACTACTTTTAAAGCAATTTATGTTAGTGGGAAGGGTATATATGATGCTCATTTTTTAGCCCTCTTCCTTCAATATATGTCTGAGATTGTTCTGAGCTTGACAGCTTTCTGTTTCTATCGTAATTTGGTCAAACACCCTCACAGTCATGATTTACAAGATGTCTATTAAGTGCCATATAGCGTTTAAAACAACTCTATCTTGGAGCAGGCAAAGTGCTCTCTCAGTTGATGCATTATGTGATGTAACTCCTGAACATGCACAATAAAAATATAAAGCTTACATCATAACATAATAGCAAGGAATACATGCAAACACATACTATACATAAATACTATAATAATTTAAAAATTAACATTAATAGACTAACTCAAAAATACCTCCCTACATACCACAAAAACAACAGGCACCAGAACACATCATTAAAAAAGTATAGGAAGTATAATAAGGTACAGTTTACAATTAGCATTGCATTCATTTACTTAAATGTATAATGATTTGCCATAACCCTGCAAGCTGTCCACTTTGTCAGAGGGGAAATATGGAGGTTGACAAAATGTCCTAGTAAGTGACTTGCTAAATCAAAGACCCAGAGTTTCATTTAGCAAGCAAAACTACAAATACGTTTCTATAAATTGGTTCACAAAGTCTTAGGTTCAAAATTTGTTTTACAACTGTGATAATTCTAAGTTTCACAGCTGGAGAAATTGCTTGTTGAAATATTCAAATTATATAAGAGGAACCACCCAGAATTGAGTAAATTGAACATGGTATGTGTTTTTAAGTTTTGAATTAAGAGAAAGTAGTACAGAAAAAAACAATTTCATTATTTGTTCTAGACATTTACATATTGGTATAAGCAAATTACACACAGTACTATTAAAATATTCAAACCTCAACTTAATAAATCTGTACTCTGAAATGCCATAAGTCAAAACTGACCCTTTGTTACACCCTAGTGCATTGGTTTTCTAGGGAGAATGAATTCACTCTAGCTGTACAAGCTCAAATAATACTTTTGCAAAGCAAAACAATTCTGGCACCATTAAGGACCAGACTTAAACTGGATGCTGCTTTTACTGAATACTACTTAACACTACAGAACGTATAACCAAGCAAAATGTACATTTACAGAATCAAATATAGAGACCCAGAATTGGAAATGAGTTTTCCAATTGCATGTTAACATTTTAACACGCACTTGTCAGGATGGATAAGTGTTCAAACAATGCAGATTACATTTAACAATCTAGTAAATGTAGCCGTTCCAAACACAGATGGCCAATACGTGTATGCGACTGCTTCAGAAACACTTAATTGCTGTGTTGTGACAAACTCTATTATTTCTACATTGAAATGTTCAAGCCATAAAAAACCCACAACACCTGACGTATAAAGAGATTTATCTCTACAGTTAAATGTTTGGCTTCATAAGAACTGAAATCCCGTCCATGACTGTGTTACTCTGTGGTTTTGACAGGTCACAGTATTGAGAATATTATCCTCAGCTTACATTGACGTCAGTTCTGTCAGCAATCCAACGGGAAATCTGTTCAGCTGCAAATCCTCGCACCTGGAGCTCGTATGTGTCAGCTCTTTTGGGCTTTCCTTTCGGGGGAAAGTGCATGAACGTGGGTGCAGAGTTCATATTCAGCTGCAGAAACAAATGGCACAAGATGTGGTCATACATGGAAAAGTGAATTTGTGCTTTTTGTACAAATTGCTATCTCTGCAACGTATCAGAAAGATAATTGAATCCCATTTGAAAAACATGACATTTGAATTGTGAATAAAATAAATCTGAACAAGGAAGTCTAAAAGAATCTATTAGAACAGCACATTAAGAGACTACTGAATTATACAATTCAGAAAAAAACAAGAAATTAAGATAACAAATTATTTTTTCTTTAGAGCTACTTGAGAATTGTATAGTTATTAATATATAGGTCTCCATTAATTTATTTCCTTTGATAAGGACACATCATTCCAAAAGATGAGAATAGTTAAGGTGTGCCTCACCTCAGTACATTTGCAATAGTCTCACAATTTGGTCTAATTATTTTAATTTGATTAATCTTTCTGACTATACCAATCCTTAGGGGCACCTACAAGTTTAGGGGCTGCTACGTGTTTCAAGACAGAGGAAATATCTGGATTAAGGATTAAGAAATACATAATGTAAAGCAAGGCTGATGAAACTCGAATGACCCGATCTATGGTGACCTTTCCTATATAGTACAAGAGGACAGAAACAAAAAAGACAAGTACCATGTGAAACACGTCTGAGCCATCATCAAAGTCAACAGTTGCAAAAAAGATCTTGTTGGTGAAGGCACTAGAGTAACGCCACGAATTGGCCAGGATCTGATATTCTTCATCTGCCTGCCTGCACAAAGAGAGATTAAAGTTTACAAGGTGGATTTGACCTTATTAAAAGAACATCAGTATGCTATTACTCTTATAGAGATTAAATAGTATTAACTACTATATGTTGTCAATCAACTGTCTTTAAGGGGGGAAGGCCGGTTAGTTGACCCCCATTCACAAAGGAAATTATCTGAATGTGTTGCCAAGATTCAGGTCTGGTATTATTCTTTCATATAACTTATCTACAAGCTTGTAAGTGGTGCAGGGGGCTGCATGATTGCTGTGGGAGAGATCCTAGAGGTATATCTCTCTGACACCCCTGTGAAATTGCATTATATTTTATACATTTTTCTACCAATTATTTAATAACACCCTCCATATTTGCAATAGCCAAGTGTGATTTTCACATCTCAGCTCCCAGTTATGGACACCGTGACCGCACACGGGGGAGGAAGAGGAAGTGTAAGCTCACTCCTTTGACCCCACTATCCTTGAGTCATTCCTCCTGTAACATGACAGGTGACACAGCCCCAATCTAGTATTTATATGAACATCACTCTCCAGTGTAATAAAGGTAACTTACTTGCACACCCCACACTGCCTCTGAGGCTGCAGAGCAGTAAACATGACCACCACAGAGTAGTTCCTCGGGGGCGCTTTCACAAACCGTCGAAACTTCTCCCCATTCATACGAATGACCGCTCTTTTACCAGCCCAGTCCATCAACTGTCCCACCTTCTCGGACAGCATTGCCTGAAGGAAAAGAAAAAGATTACAATTTCATTCAAAAGCTACAATAATAATATTCTGCATGTATTTAAAAACGTTTAAATAAACTATATAGAGGTGGCACAGTGGTAAGTATTACTGCCTTGTAGTGCTGGGCTCTGGGTTTAATTTATCTGTGTGGAGTTTGTATGTTCTCTCCATGTTGAGTTTTCCTCGAGGCCCCTCTGTTTCCACCCACGACCCAAAGACATACTAGTAGATTAACTGGGAAAACTGACCCTGGTGTAAGTGTGAGTGTGTGCATGTTTCTGTCTGTGTCTGGCTGGACTGACCAGCATGTACCCTCCTCCGTGACCCTAACAGAAGCAGTTAGAAAATGCATGAATGGGTTTGTTGTATATTCACAGCCACAACACTTTGTATAGATTATTTAGAAGTTGCCTTTACACAAAGAGTAATCAACGTGCCACTTACCTCATCATTCTTTTTAAGAAATCCAATATAAAATCATCAATTAAATTGGTTTTGTTGTTGTTCATATTTTAAACTGATCTTCTGTTAAGAATAGATGTTATCAGTAACACTGCTGAACTGTTGACAGAATTGATAGCAGGACTTGTGATCAGCTCACTTCTATTACTTATCAGCTGTTAGTGGCAATTAAACAGGGTGGCAGAATTGCACTGCAGTGAAGAGTATTACTGTCTTCCAGCCCCAGGGGCAGCAGATCAACTCTGGCCTCAATATTCTGCCTGTGGGCAGTGTGCATGGTCTACCATGTTCATATGTGTCTGAAAAGAGAATGTTCTCTTTAAATAAAGATAATTTGATTTCAGATTTCATTCAGAATTTGGACACAGAAAACCAGGGACACAAGAACATATTAAAATTAATAAAATGTGTCAATTTAGGACAGAAAATGGGAATGTGCCTATGATCAGAGTACTGGGTATTGTGGAATACTGTGGAATAACATACACAGTCATGTTTTGAAAATTATCCTTAGGCTCATTCAAGAAGGTTTAGAAAATCAGTAAGTTATTAGTCACCACATGCAGTCCATCACAATAACCACATAAGCCTAAGGATAATTTTATAACAGGTTACAAACGAAAGGAAGCGTCTGGACCAGCCTGCATAGTTACAATGATTGCTGCAACTTTATTTATCTGTAACGTCATTTGCCTTTTCTGGTCATTTTAAGAACACTTTCAATGTGTCATATAAAAACCTTATTCATTAAAATTGTCCAACTAAAAACTGCAATGGGATTTTTTTTTTACTTAAGCTTCAACAGCAAAATATCCTTTAATAAGTAAACGAAAACGTAGGGTCTATATGTCAAAGAAATAATAGAAAACTCTGTAACTTCCTAGGAGATTAAGTTAATGCTATTACAAATTTGTTTCATTTATTGCTTATTTTTTCCAAGACCTTACGGAAATATAAATACTTGAATTTAGTTTCCCTGTAGTCTATCTGCTCAAGATTAAAATATTTCAATTATTTAGCGTGTCAATACAGTGCAATTCGTTTAAGCCCGGGAATGCCTGGTCGCACTTTGGACGATTACAGACCATATATTTTTGTAAGATAGTAACCAGAGTCGTACACAATATTCTGCAAGAGGTCTTACTAGAATAGTGTACAGTTTTAACATAAGAGTTACTTGCTTCATATAGTTTCACTTTCAAACTATAAAGAAATTGGAAAATGTCCTAAGGTGTCTATAAATACTGTAGCTTTTCGCTCAGTCTTTTTGCTGATTGGGATAATCAATGATATCGGAATAATCGAGTACATTGCCCAGAAAGTTTATCCCAACGTATTTAAAACCTAGAAAATTGTGATCCCGTTTACTTAATTACGAAGAACATCAACAATATAACTTTTTGGAGATGGATTGGAATCTACTGAATGAAATGAAGCCTCTCAAAACACTGAAAACCTGTCACTTCCTGATTAGTTAACACACGAGTCACCATAAAAGTGCAGATACTCATTTATATTAGATCCCACTTTACAATTATAATGTGCACAGTGAGGCTGTAACCCACCTCTTTTTTCTTCTGTCCATGTGTAGATATTCCGCAGAGTACTAAAATTAAAACGGTTATATACAAAACTTTACACAAAGCCATGTCTCCACTTTTCAAAAGAGACCGAACTAGTGCTTTAATCGTATACATTACGTATGGCCTAATTTTCTGCTGTAATATTTCTATTGGCATACTTTTCTGTCTATCGCCCAATCAGAAGCCCGTTGTCATGTATATGACGTAAAGAGGCGGCCAGGTTTTATGATTGGCTACAAACAAAATTTTAGCCAACGAATCATCTAGGAGCAAGCTGTTGCTCTGTCATTTGTTGGAAAGTGCTTTAAGGAGGGGCTTAATGAAAAAAAAAAAGTTGTAGAGTTGTATAAAATACAGCAGATTTTTACAGACAAAACTTGAAACGTTTTTGCTGCTTTCATTTCTTAGTTAGAAGTGGCATCTATTTATTTTTACAGAATTTATTATTTTGTGCATTAACTGATGAAAAAAACAAATTGCGTGTACGTTTTTGCTAAATTAACCCTGTAACTTTGCGAATACAAAAAATCGACATATTATCAGCTCGAAAGCACGCAGCCCATCCTAAAGTACCTTAAAAGGGTAACAGTCTCCAAATGCTCACAATGTTAAATCTGGTCTATCAGCATCTTGACCAAGACAGACATTTGTAAGAATCTTATTTCTTGATTTTCCCTCTGCTTTTAATAAGATAAGATAAGATCACTTTATTTATTTATTAATTCCATATACAATTTCTTGTATTAGGAATTTGTCTTTACGCATGCCCCAACACAGTCTCCATGAGACACACAGACAGGGAGAGAAGTATTCCTTACACTTATGGACACTCCACTCAAAGCTCTTTATAGGTAATGGGGACTCCCCTCCACCACCACCAGTGGTGCAACCTCACCTAGATGATGCGACAGCAGCCATAGAGCGCCAGTACAGTCACCACACATTAACTATCAGTGTGGAGGAGAACAGTGTGATGAAGCCAATTTATACATGGGGATTATTAGGCAGCCTTGATTGGTAAAGGGTAATGGGAAATTTGGCCAGGGCCCTGGGATGACACCCCTACTCTTAAAGAAATGGCCTGGGATTTTTAATGACTACAGAGAGTCAGGACCTCAGTTTTACGTTTTATCCGAAGGATGGCGCCTTTTTACAGTATAGTGTCCCCGTCTCTATACTGGGGCATTAGGACCCACAAAGTCTCCTGCTGGCCCCACTAACACCACTTCCAGCAGCGACCTTAGTTTTTCAACAGGAGATCTCCCATCCAGGTACTGACAAGGCTCACACCTGCTTAGCTTCAGTGGGTTGCCAGTTGTGAATTGCAGGGTGATATGGCTGCTAGCATTAAAATATAAATATAACTATAAATATTCCCTAGGTTAAAAGGGGTTTATCCTTGTTAGTGTAGACATTTTTAGAATTGCTGTCAGAATTATTGGATCCCTTGTTTCTAGAACTTGGTGCAACCTCCTCTGACATGGATAACAGCACACAGCCTTTCCCTATCGTGTTTAATAAGGTTGGAGAACACACTGGGAGGGATTTTGGACCATTTCTCTATGCAGAAAATTTCCAGATCACTGATGTCCTTATGGACTGCCCTCTTCAATTCAGACTACAGGTTTTCAATCGGGTTTAAGTCTGGAGACTCAGACATAGATTTTGTTTTCAGTCAACCAGATCTTTGTTGATTTTGAGCTGTGTTTACGGTCATTGTCATGCTGAAAGGTCCATCTGTGACCAAGTCACAGCTTTCTGGCAGAGGCCACCAGGTTTTGTCGAGTCTATGATGCCACTGATCTTAACAAGGACCCCAGCATTAGTGGCAGCAAAGCAGACCCATAATATCTACAATCCACCACCACATATTTACAGTAGCTAGGAAATTATTTTCTTTGTACGCATCTCCCTCTGACGCCAAATGTCCTGATGGTGTAAGTGGCCAGTGAGTTCAGTTTTGGTCTCATCTTACCATAGCACCCTCTTCTAATCAAATCCCCTTGGCGTCCGGCAAATTCAAGCCGCTTCGATTTATTTCTTCTTGTCAGCAAGGGCTTTATTCTGGCAACCCTTCCAAATAGTCTCTTGGCATGGATGCAGCTTCTAATTGTTGATTTGGAGACTTGGTGACCCCAAGATGCAATCAGACGCTGCAGCTCTCCAACTGTGATCCATTGTTTCTTTTTTGTCTCCCCTTCAAACAGGATGTACATGTGCCCTTTTCCTGGTAAGTTAACCACTTTAAGTGGTTTTGAATTTCTTGATTACAGCCCTAATAGTGCTAAGTGGTATATTTAACCTTTTAACTTTGAACCATTTTTTGTATTTTTGTATTCATTACCTGATTTGTGATTTGTCTCTTTGTGATGGATAACAAAAGGTTTTGTCATACTAGCTGTTGAGAAAGTATAGCTGAGTATAATACCTATACTATCTCAACAGCTGCTAATTGACTGCCACTCGACCCCCCCTATTATTTTAGTGTACTGTGCACACCGAAGCCCAGGAGGAACTATATTTCGTTCTCTCTGGTAATAATAATTGCTTACACTTAATAATTTCTTTTCTGGACACTCCACTCAAAGCGCTTTACAGGAAATGGGGACTCCCCTCTACCACCACCAATGTGCAGCATCTACCTGGATGATGCGACAACAGCCAGAGTGCTCCAGAACGCTCACCACACATCAACTATCAGTGGGGAGGAGAGCAGAGTAATGAAGCAAATTCATAGATGGGGATTATTAGAAGGCCATGATTGGGAAGGGCCATTGGGAAATATGGCCAGGATGCCAGGGTTACACCCCTACTCTTTTCGAGAAACGACCTTGGATTTTTAATGACCACAGAGAGTCAGGACCTCGGTTTTACATCTCATCCGAAGGACAGCACCTGTTTACAGTATAGTGTCCCTGTCACTATACTGGGGCATAAGGACCCACATAAACTGCAGGGTAAGAGCCCCCTGCTATTCCCACTAACACCTCTTCCAGCAGCAACCTTAGTTTTTCCCATTTCCCATTGCTTAGCTTCAGTGGGCTGCCAGTTGTGAGTTGCAGGGTGATTTGGCTGCTGGCTGGTGGTACATTGTATAAGTGTAGAATGACAATAAAGTGAATCTTGAACCTTGAATTGCCATTACCCCCATTTGGGAGACTCCTCTGTGTCCACAGGTGTGAAAGTAGCAGACTCAGAAAATCTTTAATACCCTCTTTAAATTCTCTCTGAGAAAATGCAAAGTAACTCTCTTAGCTCCTGTAACTCTATTTTACTGTCTGCTTTGTTGGTAATGTTTGTCTCTCTTGTTGTTATTGTTGAATTGTTTACTGTGTTGTAAAAGTTCCCCTCTAGGATAATAAAGCTATAATTGAATTGAAAACATTCCACAGAGGAGATTACAAGGACATTACTGAAATTTACAAGAAGACCCTGGTACTGCCTATTAGATCAAAGTTAGATAAATATCATACTGATGTGGTTTTAAGGGAAACAATGGAAAAGTCAATTGGTAAAATGAAAAAATCGAGTTTAGATTACAATTAATATTTTAATTCACAATGTACCTATTTGTTATGTTCAAGATATTTTTACTGATTTCAGTTTTACACTTTTATTTCTCGAAGCATTTTTTAAATCTTTCAAATAAGCTATTTTCTGTAGTCCAGCACCACTCATTTTGTAAGGAAAATTACTGCCCACTTGCATGTCGTCTTACGCTTCCCTAAATTCCCCGGTTTCTGAAAAATCATAAATAGAATTGAATACTGTGCAATTCTATTTATGATTTTCCTGCTCCTATATTTTCTGACAATGTGACATTTGCTAATTATACCAAGTATATGTTATCAAAAAAGGATGATAAATGAGTCAGTTTGAGGTTTATCAACTTATTAGTGCTGTTATTTGGATAATATCTGTTTTGTTTTACTTCAATGTTTATTTCATTATATTTTATTAATAATACCTTGCTTGTTTTAATAATTATACTCCGATAACATTTTACCCAGGGGATCCCAAACCACTTTCTGTAGAAAAGGGCACCCACTTCACCCACCAAGTACTAGTGAGGTATCACTACTTGTGATACACTGCAATCATTGTGCTCCAGCAGCCCCACTACACAGCAGATGAAGTGGAGAAGTGAGAACTGATATAACAAGTTGAATTAAGGCCTAAATTCAAGCAGGCCAGGTTGTGGAGATCCAAAGTCGAATTTAGCCAGGACACTGGGTTGACTACCTTTACTCCTACAAAAAGTAATATGAGATCTGTAATGGCCATTTAGTCAGACTTCTGGAACAAAACCATATTTTAACATCTCACCTCAAAAAAGTCATTTACTGCTGCACAGTGCCCCTATGTAACTATGCTGGGCAATTGGTTTGAAGTTTCTGGTCTAGAAGTAAGAGTGCCAACGACTAACCGATTCGTACCAAGCACAGCAGCAACCTAATGTACAGTGCCTTGCGAAAGTATTCGGCCCCCTTGAACTTTTCAACCTTTTGCCACATTTCAGGCTTCAAACATAAAGATATAAAT